ACGGAGGGCCCCGCCAGGCACAAGGGAGGCCACGACGCCAGGACGGAGGGGCCCGCCAGGCACAAGGGAGGCCACGACGCCAGGACGGAGGGGCCCGAAAGGCACAAGGGAGGCCACGACGCCAGGACGGAGGGGCACGCCAGACACAAGGGAGGCCAGGACGGAGGGGCCCGCCAGGCACAAGGGAGGCCAAGACGGAGGGGCCCGCCAGGCACAAGGGAGGCCACGACGCCAGGACGGAGGGGCCCGCCAGGCACAAGGGAGGCCACGACGCCAGGACGGAGGGGCCCGCCAGGCACAAGGGAGGCCACGACGCCAAGAAGGAGGGGCCCGCCAGGCACAAGGGAGGCCACGACGCCAGGACGGAGGGGCCCGCCAGGCACAAGGGAGGCCACGACGCCAGGACGGAGGGGCCCGCCAGGCACAAGGGAGGCCACGACGCCAGGACGGAGGGGCCCGCCAGGCACAAGGGAGGCCACGACGCCAGGACGGAGGGGCCCGCCAGGCACAAGGGAGGCCAGGAGGCCACGACGGAGGGGCCCGCTGGCCCACAAACACTTCAAAACCCGGATTAATCTCCACGAGAGAAACTGGAAGCGGGTGATGTGAGCTGAAGATAAAGCTTTACAATATTGATGTCAGCTTGAAGGGAGCAACGTGTGGCGGGTGATGTGAGTGGTGAGGCTGCGCCAGGCGGGGCATCGCTCTGCCAAGCGCCCAATTATGGAGCTGTTCCAGAGATGATATGAGGCGCGCGGTGTGAGGCGCGCGGTGTGAGGCGCGCGGTGTGAGGCGCGTGGTGTGAGGCGCGTGGTGTGAGGCACGCGGTGTGAGGCGCGCGGTGTGAGGAGCGTGGTGTGAGGCACGCGGATATGAGGCGCGCGGTGTGAGGCGCGTGGTGTGAGGCGCGCGGTATTAGGCGCGCGGTGTGAGACACGCGGTGTGAGGCGCCCGGTGTGAGGCGCGCGGTATAAGGCGCGCGGTGTGAGGCGCCCGGTGTGAGGCGCGCGATGTGAGGCGCGCGGTATTAGGCGCGCGGTGTGAGACACGCGGTGTGAAGCGCGCGGTATTAGGCGCGCGGTGTGAGGCGCCCGGTGTGAGGCGCGCGATGTGAGGCCCGCGGTATTAGGCGCGCGGTGTGAGGCGCGAGATGTGAGGCGAGCGGTGTGAGGCGCGCGGTGTGAGGCGCGCGGTATTAGGCGCGCGGTGTGAGGCGCACGATGTGAGGCGCGCGGTGTGAGGCGCGTGGTATTAGGCGCGCGGTGTGAGGCGCGCGATGTGAGGCGCGCGGTGTGAGGCGCGTGGTATTAGGCGCGCGGTGTGAGGCGCGCGATGTGAGGCGCCCGGTGTGAGGCGCGCGGTGTGAGGCGCGCCGGTATGAGGCGCGCCGGTGTGAGGCGCGCGGAGTGAGGCGCGCGGTGTGAGGCGCGCGGTGTGAGGCGCGCGGTATGAGGCGCGCGGTGTGAGGCGCGCGGTGTGAGGCGCGCGGTGTGAGGCGCGCGGTGTAAGGCCACCGATGAATATCAATGCGATACTATGCATCGACAACACGGTAAGCACAGAACAGCCAGGAACCAGCCACTGCAGGTATTTTGTGCAGTCAGCAGATATCGCCTGAGCCAGATACAACAGTCAGCAGATACCGTCCTGAGCCAGATACAACAGTCAGCAGATACCGTCTGAGCCAGATACAACAGTCAGCAGATACCGTCTGAGCCAGATACAACAGTCAGCAGATACCGTCTGAGCCAGATACAACAGTCAGCAGATACCGTCTGAGCCAGATACAACAGTCAGCAGATACCGTCTGAGCCAGATACAACAGTCAGCAGATACCGTCTGAGCCAGATACAACAGTCAGCAGATATCGCCTGAGCCAGATACAACAGTCAGCAGATACCGTCTGAGCCAGATACAACAGTCAGCAGATACCGTCTGAGCCAGATACAACAGTCAGCAGATATCGCCTGAGCCAGATACAACAGTCAGCAGATACCGTCTGAGCCAGATACAACAGTCAGCAGATACCGTCTGAGCCAGATACAACAGTCAGCAGATACCGTCTGAGCCAGATACAACAGTCAGCAGATACCGTCTGAGCCAGATACAACAGTCAGCAGATATCGCCTGAGCCAGATACAACAGTCAGCAGATACCGTCTGAGCCAGATACAACAGTCAGCAGATACCGTCTGAGCCAGATACAACAGTCAGCAGATACCGTCTGAGCCAGATACAACAGTCAGCAGATATCGCCTGAGCCAGATACAACAGTCAGCAGATACCGTCTGAGCCAGATACAACAGTCAGCAGATACCGTCTGAGCCAGATACAACAGTCAGCAGATACCGCCTGAGCCAGATACAACAGTCAGCAGATACCGTCTGAGCCAGATACAACAGTCAGCAGATACCGTCTGAGCCAGATACAACAGTCAGCAGATACCGTCTGAGCCAGATACAACAGTCAGCAGATACCGTCTGAGCCAGATACAACAGTCAGCAGATACCGTCTGAGCCAGATACAACAGTCAGCAGATACCGTCTGAGCCAGATACAACAGTCAGCAGATACCGTCTGAGCCAGATACAACAGTCAGCAGATACCGCCTGACATACTGCAGATACGGCAGTCAGAAGAGTCCATGTTGTCAGCAGACATTACATGTAGACGATAGTACAGGTATAAAACAAAGCAGACACAAGGCATCAGACAGTCCATAATTCAAACAGTGAAGCCAGTTCTTTCAGCAGACTTGCACTTAGTTAAATATACCGGCTGTATAGTTAGCAAACATTTCAGGCAGCCTTCGCTTCACGTAACTTCAGCAGCAGACACTTCCGGCAGCAGACACCTCAGTCAGCAGATGACATTTTACGAGACAGGACTTCAAACATATATAAACACATATATATAGACATATAGGCAAGACATATATAGTCCACATAAAGAGTGCTAAATAAGGTGACGCAGGAGCGACGTCGGAGAGAGAGAAAGTGACTGACATCCCCATCAATGACTGTTGCATCAGTCCAGACACAGAGATTGCAATGCAAAATAATTGTCTTTTGAGTCTCTTCAGTGATGCAGTAGTCGATAGTTACCATACCAGTTTGGTCACATTATGCTGGGTACAATAAGAGTGAAGACAACTGGTATTAAAGATTAGTTCTCTTACACTACACTTTGTTCATTAGTTCTCTTTAGATCTTGAACTTAAGGGTGTTAAAGTCTTCTATTATTGTTGTCTATGGAAAAGGAAGGAATTTATCAATATATATATTTTTTTTCTAATTAAAACTGTATATATAGAAAGTTTTACTTGGAACATAGTTTCTAATAGAAGCAGTGTAGACAAGTTAAACTTACTTACATCGTTAAGACTCTTCGTAAAATAATCTAGGTGGGAAAATTCCCATTGTGTTGCTGGAGACCTCACTGATACACCAAATATTTGGTGTATCAGTGTATCAAACATTGTATCAAACATTGTATCAAACATTGTATCAAACATTGTATCAAACATTGTATCAAACACTGAGAACGGAAGCAGAAGTAATTGTAGTTTATTTGCTGGTCAGTCAAGTCCCGTTCTTGTCCAAGGTCCTCATACTAATCTCCCGCACGTGTCTGACACTCTCACATTGGCTGCTGGTAATCGCTGAATGACCTGACAAGCGTCAGGGGCTCCGGTGGAGGTGTCAGCCGTCACTGCTGTCAGTACACGTTTGTCAATAAATACTCTGGAGTTTGTCCTGCATCCAGCCCCCCCCTTACAGTCAGCCCCGTCCTGAAGCCCTCCACCACCTGCAGTCAGCCCCTCCTGAAGCCCCCACCTGCAGGCAGCCCCCTCCTGAAGCCCTCCCACCTGCAGTCAGCCCCTCCTGAAGCCCCCACCTGCAGTCAGCCCCCTCCTGAAGCCCCCCACTTGCAGGCAGCCCCCTCCTGAAGCCCCCCCTCACCTGCAGTCAGCCCCTCCTGAAGCCCCCCCACGTGCAGTCAGCCCCTCCTGAAGCCCTCCACCTGCAGGCAACCCCTCCTGAAGCCCTCCACCTGCAGTCAGCCCCTCCTGAAGCCCTCCACCTGCAGTCAGCCCCTCCTGAAGCCCTCCACCTGCAGGCAACCCCCTCCTGAAGCCCCCCTCCACCTGCAGTCAGCCCCTCCTGAAGCCCTCCACCTGCAGTCAGCCCCTCCTGAAGCCTTCCACCTGCAGTCAGCCCCTCCTGAAGCCCTCCACCTGCAGTCAGCCCCTCCTGAAGCCCTCCACCTGCAGGCAGCCCCTCCTGAAGCCCTCCACCTGCAGGCATCCCCTCCTGAAGCCCTCCACCTGCAGTCAGCCCCTCCTGAAGCCCTCCACCTGCAGGCAACCCCCTCCTGAAGCCCCCCCTCCACCTGCAGTCAGCCCCTTCTGAAGCCCTCTACCTGCAGTCAGCCCCTCCTGAAGCCCCCCACCTGCAGGCAGCCCCTCCTGAAGCCCTCCACCTGCAGACAGACCCCCTCCTGAAGCCCTCCACCTGCAGTCAGCCTCTCCTGAAGCCCTCCACCTGCAGTCAGCCCCGGCTGAAGACCCCCCCTGCAGGCAGCCCCTCCTGAAGCCCTCCACCTGCAGGCAGCCCCGTCCTGAAGCCCTCCACCTGCAGACAGCCCTCTCCTGAAGCCCTCCACCTGCAGGCAGCCCCCTCCTGAAGCCCTCCACCTGCAGGCAGCCCCCTCCTGAACCCCTCCCCCCCACCTGCAGGCAGCCCCCTCCTGAAGCCCCCCACCTACAAGCAGCCCCCTCCTGAAG